AGAAGATCACTTATGGCGAGGAGTCTGAAGATTTCCCTGCAGTGGTGACATTTGAGCTAAGGCCCAAAAATTAGAAGGAGAGGAAGCACACTCCACACAAAGGGAGCAGCCAGGGGGGTCGGGGGTGGGGGTGGGAGAGGAAAAAAAAAAAAAACCACCTGTTAGGTGGGAAAAAACTTGTTATCTAGAGTTCTGAAAAGGAGACCAGTATGTCTGAAGGGCTGTGTGATAAGAAATGAGGTTCAAGAAGTGGGAAGGACCCAAGTTGGAGCAACTAGATTCCATTGAATATAGCGCTCTTCTTAACTAGAAGACAAATTAAAAAAAAAAAAAAATCCCAAGACTGAGAGAACAGTTTGATGAGAAACCATTTAGGCTGGCAGCCCAAGAATAGAACTTCTTAAATTAAAGGAGAATGACATGGGAGGGTGGCAGAGGAAATGTGTCTTGTGATTAGGAACACCGTTCTTCTTTGACATGATGTTTTGATATGGGAGATCCCAAATGAGGTCCTTTTCTTCTGTCCATGGCTACCAAGTCTAAAGCTGGCCAGAGCTGCAGGAAGTGTGCCCTCCCTAAGGAAACAAGCATATACTTGAAGGGATGTCACGCTAGTCCCAAAAGCAGTCATCATGAAACTGCTGCCCCTACCAGCCTGTTGCCTTCCAGAGGCAGGAAGGACAAGGCTGTCCTCTCCCCCAGCTCAGAATTCTTCTGCATTTTCATGCTGTCACAGGGATATTTTAAGAGAATCCGCACAAATAATACCATCATCCCCCCTTTTTAGATCAGTTTAGATTAGTTTTTTAGATTAGATTAATTTAGATTAGATAACCTTTATGTGTTGTCTTATTTTTGTATCCTACTGCATGAGCTTAGGGGCTAATGTTATTAGTAGTAATTTTGGAAAAGCCCTTCTTTGACAAATGAACTTTTCAGTAACTATGCGAAGAAGCAAAAATGTTAAACTGATCATTTTTCTGTTAAGAAGTTTTTGAATTGCACGAATAGCTTTTCGAGATTATGCCATAGGACATGTCCTTTCTGTATCTAGTCCCCATTTTGAGGCTATAAGTAAAGAAATAACTTAATCCTGGCCAGTTTTAAACTCTACTCTTTTTTTGTCAGCCATTTAAACATTACTGGGAAGTGTTTTCACTTCTATTTAGTAAAATCAGATTTTGCTGTGGTGTGGTACTCTTGAATAGCTTTTGGTTTCACGTGCCATTTCTGTGTTGGTGTATATATCTGTGATTGAAGGATTAGGCAAGACTTTGTGTGTCTGGCCCAATTCAGAGAGGTGATGACTTCCCCTGTCTCCCTAAAAATATTGTGCCGATATTGGAAAAAGCTTTAGATTCTCATATGATACAGGACACGGTTAATAATCTTCAATGTTAATTGGAGAAATTTTGTTGGATTATAAACTAGTAGGAGCCATTCATCCACTAAAATATCATTTTGGGAATTTGGGGGTATAAACCTATCCTTTGGGTGCTCTCTCTTTTCATTTATCATACCTAAGATAACCCCTGTAGTTAGTTGTACTGAGAATTGGGACATGGGCTCAGAACAGGAAAAGACTATAAAACTGGGGTCTTTAAAAATCTTTTTATCTGCTTCCTGACCTTATATTTCAGGTGAGGCATCTAAGATGCAGAGACATTTTAGTGTTGGGTGGTTTGCGACGGAGATGGGCTGACACGTCCGGTTTCATCTAGTGTTTGCCTGTGGAATGAGGGCATTCAAAATGGCTAGTCCTATTATTCAAAATGTGCTGGACTCTTCCTAATCTGAGCCCTGCAGCTGGAAGTGAAAACAATTCCCTTGGATGGAATCCCTCCCGTGAGAGTGGTTCCTTTCTGAATGTCCTTAGATCAGCCTGGTAAATAGAATTTCTAAAAGTTGTATCTCTATTGAAAACTCCTTTGGCCAAAAAGTTTACCTTCATACTGTCCATATTTTAGTAATTCTGCTTTCTTTTTCTATCATATTTTTCCCTAACATGAAGGAAGAGAAATGATTTGAAATGACCCCATGACAAGAAAATCAAATGTTGAAAAGGAATAGAAGGGAAGCTCGGTCTTTGCCTGATTTCTTTTGACCTCTGTCTGGCTTTCCTTCACACACACTAGTGCTAGCTGTCCTGGTGTTCTTTTTATATTCAGCACATGGATGAGCTTGAATTGTTCCTTTGTTAACTCAGAAGTCTGCAAATGATGAAAAGATTATATATTCAGCAGGTCAAATTTGAGACAGTTTTCTGAATTAAAAAAAAAAAAAATGTGTTCAGTAGCCTGCTCTAAAATTAGGGAAATTGAATCAACTGATGCCTGGAGAAGAGCAAAGGTAATGTGTCAGAAATATGTGTAAGGCACTGGTCAATAGATATTTTAGCATATAAAATGTAAGCAACCGATTTATTGCAAGTAGTATCTAATTCAAAACAACTAATATTTCCCAGGCAAATATTTGGCTTTTTAACTCTTGTTAGCACATAAATATAAATTGATAAATTTGGTTATTTTTCTGCTGTCTGATGGATTTTACATTTCTGGACACCAGGGTTTGCTTGCCATCACATGAAAATATGATTAGGAATGTGATTTGCTTGATTAGGAATGTGCACATCCTTTGGTTTCATGTGGGTAACAGATGTCTTATGAGTAACAGATGTCTTGGCTTTTACACACTAATTGGCAAAAAGGGGGGAAAGGGGCTAATTAAAAGGGTGGGAGGAGATACAAGAAAAGTGCAATCTTTCTTGTGGGGAAACTCTAATAGACCTCCTTATTCTGGGTAATTACCTCCTCCTTCAACTTCATTTGCTATCCCTTTCCATATGACTCAAGTACATTATAATGGGAAAGTACAAAATAAAGAAACATAAGGCTGGACGACTGTCTGCTAACAGCCAGATTTATCCTGTCATGGAATATTCTAGTATAATTGACTCAATTAACATCAGTCTTTTAAAAAACAAAATATGAAAGCATAAGTCTAATCACTAAGGGCAACTTATGTTTTAATTGGCAGCACAAGGGCTCTATGTTGGGGGTGGTTGATATAAATATAATTTAATTATATACCAAATGTGACCATATAGTGGCTTGATGGGAAGTGAAAAATGCAAGACTGAATATGTTGCATGTTAGCTATACATCTTAGGTTCCTTTTAGTTTGCTGTTTGTTCTCCAGCAGGGCTTTAGTACTGACAGTTGACCTGGAATAAATGAGAACATTTAAGCAGATGTTTGAAGCTATTCTCAACACGTTCTTAGTTTTGTCACTGTTTTCCATTGTGTACCATGTAAAGTAAGGTGGCATTTACTGTGCCTTAACTATGTCACCTCAGACTGAATTAATCTTCTGATTGGTACCTTTTACTTAAAACAAAAGTAAATCTTTATAGCTCATTAAACATTTAGTGAGTATCCACATTATTCCTTGATAAGAGCTATTATGTAGTCATTTTTATAAGGAGCTAGTAATATTCCCAAGAAAAAGTATCAGGTTAGATACTTAGAGGTTCATACTTAATACACAACTTAGCCAACCTGAAGGGTAAGGTTATTTATGTAGATGCACACACATGATAATTTACTTTTATTTAACTACCTGTCTTCTCAGAAAATAAGTAGGTTTTTAAAAATATCAACTGTGTTTTGAAAGATAATTAGGATAATACAGATCAAAATTTCAATTGTCAATTATTAACTTCTTTCTGCTGCATTAAAGTTATATTTTATTCAATTGCTAGAAACTGGTGAGATAGGAAAATGTTTTATGGACTTGTCTTTTAAAAAAATAAAAAAAAATATGTCAGTTTTGGTAGGGTAGAAACAACATTGCTTGAGTAGTCTAATAACTTCTACATTAATTCAGTCACTTGATTTTTTTTTTTGAATATTATTTCATTATCTATAAAATGGAGATAGGGACACCTAACTCCCACACTCGCACTGGGAATTATACATAAGTAATGATAAATACACATGAAACTAACATACGTTTAACTGTTGAGTGCTTTATGCTTGTCTTCCTTCAGTGGACCCATGTTCCATAGTTAGTTGCCTTGATTTCTAGGCTGGGCTTCTCTTGGAAATAGAAAATTCATGGAGACTTTGATGAGGAGTCTAGTAACAACTGGTTTGAGACTGTGTGTCAGAAGACTTATTCTTCCCACCTTCAGCCCCTTAAAATATGAGGGTAAAGAATAACCGCAGTGGATTAAGTTTCTTCAGTGGTTTTCTGTATTTTGTAATTGTAAATTTCCATGAGTTATAAAATCATGGACTATTAAATGGTGGCATTCTATGAGGTTTCAGGATTTGGGGATCCACTGCCCTGACCGTGGTTTATCTCCCATTTTCAGAAGAAGCCATGGAGCCCCTCTAAGGTTAAATGTCTTCTCTAAAGTCAATGAGCAAGTTAGTGACAGAGGTAAGACTGAGACCTCCTTTTCCTGAGGTCCTTATTTGGACCATGGCCAGATGCCACCCTGCTGTGTGACTATCTAGGTTCTAAACTGGTCTGTTAAAAGAAGGGGAGCACTCAACTCACTCCACAGGTAGAAAGGGATGAATTTCTTTGTTATGCTTATGTTGGACAGTGCCCCTTGGTCACTGTGTTACTGTATCCCAGCATTTCACCGGAGCTGTTGATTTAGGAATAGGCCAGTTGAGTTTAAAAAGGTGGGACTTAGACCATGGCTAAGAAAATTGTTTTAAAATACAGTAGCAACTGAATAAATTCACAAAAATACAAGCAATAGTAAATGAAGATTGGGCCACCGATTTAATAAAACCGGTGACTGAGGGGTAACAGAGAGCAGGAGCATATATTTATCCAGTGCTGTTCATTTAAACCCTTCCTCAATTTTCATTAAGATTGAATTCTTCTATTCAAGTATTAGGGAGTGAATTTGCATGATATCTTATCATCTATATATCTATATCTATATATCTATATCTTAAAGCTTTCCACCTTACACGTTCCAGGATTGAAGTGTGTATGTCTTCTGTGTGACTCTTCAAACTTTACCTGCCAAACTGAAGGAGCATGCTGGGCTTCAGTTATGTTGGCCAATGGAAAAGAGCAGGTGATCAAGTCCTGTGTCTCTCTCCCAGAACTGAACGCTCAAGTCTTCTGCCATAGTTCCAACAATGTTACCAAAACCGAATGCTGCTTCACAGACTTTTGCAACAACATAACACTGCACCTTCCAATGGGTAAGGCATTCCTCTTTGTTCATTCCACATTTAATTTTGCTAGGGGGAAATTATATAAGCATGCTAGAAATCAAGGTGTTGGTTGTTACTGTACATAGGAAAATCCGTTTTATAGTTCTCTCCGTTTTTTGACTGGTGGCATTCTCTAGAGCCTAGGTGAGGCTGATTTTTTGTTTTAATCACACAGGACTGTCAAAACATTGACAACAGCATAATAATTGTGAAGACATTTGTCCATGTGAATTGTATTTTTTGAAGTGATTAACAGACCCAAAGTAAAATGCCAATGTGTATGGATTCTTTTAAGGAAAGAAATTGAAATGTATACCAAGGGAAAAAAAAAAGAGAGAGACTAAAGAGCAGAACTAAAAATAGTAGATTGCCACTTTTATGGAGACAAAACCTTTTTTTCATGGGCACCTTCTGGATAACTTCTTTGCCTCCCTGTGCAAGCCCTCAGGAGCAGAAAGATGGAAAATGGAGTGTAACTCTTCATTATTGTGCAGATAAATTCCTGCCTTGCCCCCAATTTCATGGTGTTTTATCCTAATTTACAAGACACTGAAAAGCTTAATCTCATTTTTTTTATCGGTAATTTGGAATCTGAAACTTTGGGGGCAAGTAATTAAAATCACAAGCTGATTTATGACAAGAAATATTCTGTGGCGAATTTTCTTTAATGTGTATTAATTTAGTAATAATTCAGTGCTTATTGCTATGTTACTATCTGCACACCAATACATAGTCTTCCTTACAACGTAACATTTTAAGTTAGCGTTATCATCTGAGCTGCTCCCCTATCACCATATCAATATTCTACTGTAGTACTTTTAACCTATTATCTTTTCTGTAAATTCACTCTCCCCCTTTTTTCTGAAGAACATTTATTTTATGCAGAAACTGGGCATCACTACCACAAATGAAAAACCAGTTTACTTACCATAAGTAGAAGATGACTGTGTGCTTAAACAAACATAGCTACTGCATTCCAGTTAAGTATTTTATATTTTCTTTTTGTTTAAAAGACAGAACAATGTGATGTTTAAGACATACTAGCACAAAATAAGGCTTTTTGGTTATCAGAGAAACTAAGAGAACTAGAAAAATAATTATTATGTAATTCAGTGTTATTTAAATCATGTTTGGTGACCATTCCCAATCATCTCAGGAACACTTCAAATTATTTTATGTGTCACCACTGAGACTTGTCCCAATCTTTGGGACATTACACTACCCATTGCAAACTCAGAAGTCATATCTGGCATATTTCATCCCCCAAGGTTACTTGCAGTTGTGGATATTAGACCATACTTATGCTCTGTCTCGGTCTCAGATTCCATAGGCTTCCTTGGTTTGGTGCTGATCTGGCATTTATTCTGGATACTGTATTTTCTCCCATGGTTATCTGAGATACCCTGAAGTGAAGCCTCCCTATATCTGATATTGGTCTTCCCATGACCAAGATCCAAAAATTAAGGAGGGGGAGATAGGTCTGCATTAGCCTGTGGCCATGACAACTTTGAGGTGGCTTCCTACATGCTGCCAGTCAGTATGGACACAAGATAGTGCTTTGACAGCAACAAAACGTCTTGGAGGGCAAAACGGTTCATATGCAGTTGGGTAAATTAAAGATACTTAGTGCAACTAGACGGTGGGTCCTTTCCAGCCTAACTATACACTCTGAGAGGCTTATATTCTACCCTCAAGTCCAGGTAGGAACCAGTCTTTTTTTAAAAATCAATTTTATTGAGGTGTAATTTAGCTATAATAAAATGCACACATTTTGAGTATATGGTTTGATAATTTTTGACACACACATACCTGGTGTAACCACCACCACTTTTCCATTGCCTCAGAATGTTCTCCTCAATCTATCCGCAGTCTGACCAGGGCTCGACCGATCTGTTTTTCTGTCACTGTGGACTAGATTTACTTTCACAACATGGAGTTCTTATGGAAGATGTTATTTTGCATTTGACTTCTTCCAGTCAGGGTTTTTTGAGATTTATGCATGTTGTGGGTGTGGTAGTAGCCTTGTTCCTTTCTTACTGCATGGTAATGTCCCATTATATGGATATACTACAGCTGTTGCTGTTACCCATTCACCCACTGATGAGTCCTCACGTTGTTTCCATGTGAGGGCTCTTAACAAAGGTGCTATGAATGTCTATGTACAAGTTTTTGGATATATGTTTTTGTGTGTGTGTAAGAAAAATACCCAAGAGTGGAATTATAGGATCATATGATAAGTATCTATTTATTTTACAAATATAATCTCCCAAGTAATTTTCAAACTATACTGTTTTATATCCCCAACAGAAATGTATGATAGTCCCAGTTGGTCCATATTTTTATAGTCACCTTGTATAATCAGTTTTTTTTTTTTAATTGTAGCCATTCAAGTGATTATGTAATGGTATTTCCTTATGGCTTTAGTTTGCATTTCCTTGATGATTAATGATGTCCAGTTATTTTTATGTGCATATTGGACAGTGGTGTGTCTTGCTTTGTAAAGTGTCAAATCTTTTCATATTAAAAAAATTGAATTTAAAACTTCTTTATGTATTCTGAATACAAGTCCTTTATCAGGTATGTGTATTATATTTTCTCCCATTCTGTGGATTGCCATTTTGTTTTCTTGAATGTGTCTTTTGCAGAGTAGATTAAAATTTGTGAAGTATGTATTTTTATTATTTTTTTTTATGTGTCATGTCTTAACTGAGGAAGTCTTTATCTACAAAGGCCATAAATACTCTTTTGTATTTTCTCCCAGAAATTTTAACATTTCAGCATTTCCATTTAGACCTATATTCAGTTTAAACTTAATTTTTGTTACTATGTGAGGTTTAGGTGAAATTTTATTTTGTATATGGATCTGAAGTTGTTCCAACATCATTTGTTGAAAAATCTATCCTTTCAATTACCTTGCCACTTTGAACGCAAAGTGACCAAAAATATATGTGTGTATATTTCTGACCTCATAATTCTTTTCAAGTGTTCTGTATGTCTATATTAATGTCACTATACAACTTTCTTTATTATTGTAGCTTTATAGTAAGTATTAAAATCAGGTCGTGTGACCTCTCCAACTTTGTTCTTTTTTAAAATTGTTTTGATTATTGTGAGGCCTTTGCATTTCTATTTAAATTTTAGAATTAGTTCAGCAGTTTTTGCAAAAACATGAAATTTTTTTTGAGATTTTTGTTAGATTGAATTGAATATATAAACTATTTGAAGAAAATGGTCATTTTAACATTTTAGTATAGAATATAGTGTGTTTTCCCATTTATTTTTCTTCAGTTACTCTTAGCAATGTTTTATAGTTGTCAGAGAACAGGTTTCATATGTATTTCCTGGAATGTTTCTCTAAGTATTACCCGTTTTGGGATATTGTGAATGGTATTTTTAATTGGTCAACATTAATTGTTAGTATATGAAAATAAAATTAAAAATTTTGTATAGTGACCTTATTTCCTACAAGCTTGCCAAAATCAATTTATTAGTTCTGGTAGCTCTTTGAAAATTTTTTTGTCATTTTCTATATACACAATCATCTTATCTGTGAATACAGGCTATTTTACATCTTCTGTTCTGGTCTGTATGTGTTTTATTTCTTCTTGCTTTACGCACTGGCTGGGATTGCTAATACGATGATGAGTAGGAGTGGTAAGAGTGAAGATCCTTGCCTTTTTCCTGGTCCAAGGAGTGAGTGAATGCACTCCCTCTTTTACCATTAAGTATGATTTTAAGTCTAGTTTTTTATAGATTCCTGGTATCAATTGGTGAGATCTGCTTTTATTCCTAGTTGGGAGAAGGGTTTTTTTTTTTTAATCCTATATGAATATTAAATTTTTTCAAGTATTTTCATGAATGTATTGAGATTATAGAATGCTTTTTCTTCTTCAGTCTATTGATATGATAGAGTACAGTAATTGGTTTCCAAATATTACTTATAACAGGGAAGATATGTATTGTCTCGTCAGTAATCGGTATGTCTGCAAAAAATGCTATGGGACATTGAATTCAAATGTCTTTACTTGAACCAAGAATTTTTGTCCTTTAGTGACATTGTGTGGTCAGCTGACATGAAATTGAACAGGATTGCATGTGTAGTCATTTTGTGTCGGGTTGTTCTGTCTGTGAGGCAGTGCTTAATGGTTCTTAGCTGTATTTGGAAGAGCAGCTGTTTGGGAAGGAACTCCAGGCTGAGCACTGACACAGTCGGAGCCAAGAACTCCACTGTTTTTGTGTCATCAGTGAGTGTGATCGCTATCCATTCCCTGCTCTGCCTAGTGGAGATTTATTCATTTCAAGTGTGGTTACATATATATGAAATCTATAAAAGCTCTCTGCAGAGTAAGCAGTGTGACATGTCTACAGTGTTCATGCTCTGCAATCACACTGATGGGCAGAATAGAGAAGAAAAGGGAGGGAGGTCACCAGAAGAGACTGGAGAAAATCTGGACTTCCCTTTTTGGTTCCTCTGAAAGCCAAGTAGACCCTTGGCTCTTCGGCTTTCTCACCCACCACCCCAGACTGTGGGGCCGTGTCTGGGTAGTGACTTGATGGAAGTGGAGTAACCAAGGCTTGGGATGTGTTAGCTGACCCTCTTTGGTTCATAAGTCCTACGTGTAATGATTGGGCTCTTGCTTCGTTTCTTTGTGACAAAATTCCTACCTTGAGTACAGCTTGGGACTTTTTCTCTCCCTTCCTCTCTCTGCTAGTGCAATTGTAGCTCAGCAGTTGGATACTGTAGGCCCTCCCTCTTTCCCTCCTGTAAATTCTTTTAAGTGTTTGGCTGTAGTTCCTAAAGACTTAGACTGGTAGCTTTTATACAGATTTCCACTGAGACACACAGAAGAAGTACATTTTATACAATATCCCTCAACCGCATGCATGCACGACTGAAATAATTGAATTTTTACAAAACATTCATACCCTTCAAATGTGCGAGGCACCATATGAATTTTCCTTAATTAGGAATGCTGATTAGACCCCAT